CAAATACTTTTGCACCAACCTCATATATCAGCATTTCAGATTGTGTGTGTTTATATATATATATATATTATTTGATAAGTGCAAGTTACTAAATAATATGAATGGTATTAGGTATATGTATGTGTATATATATATATATATGCACACACACAGACACACACACACACATTAGGCATATATATGGTTATATATGTATGTATACATATATGTATACCTAATACCATTCGTATTATTTAGTAATTTGCACCTATAAGACAATATTTCCCCTCAATGTGTATCTCTACTTTATTCTTTATAGTGTCTTATAGTGGAAATATGCTATAATTTTTTAAACCATTACCTTCACAGTTTATTCTAAGGTTTATATCATTGTTCAAATGATAAACAATGCAACAATGAGCATCTTCATGTACTTTTGCAAATGTAATCGCTAGAAGAGATTTCTTAACTAGAATGGATGTGCTAGTTTAAAAATATTATGTAATTTTTTAAAAAATACACTCATTTCCATTGACTATATAAATGCAATCGAATCGTACACCCATCCTCCTCTCTCCTTTGCTCATATCCATTCTAACTAACAGGTTACCTTTCCATGCAAGTAAATGTTCATCTCCGGTCTGTTGCTAGGCTTAGGAATACAATGTAATTCACTGTCCCTTTGACTCATGATTCCTTGCTCATCAGCTATATTAAACAACTTTCCATATGTTTATTGACCACTTAGATTTGCTTTTTGGTAAATTATTCATACTGCTTACCCACCATTCTTTGAATTGGTTGTCTTTTCATTAGCAACGTGTAAGTGCTTTTTATCATGGAGACTAAGCCTGTGTCATCTGTGCTACTTAAACATTTTCTCAGCCTATTCATCTTCGACTGACCTATTGATGTATCTTGCATTTTTTTCTACTTTATGTTGTCCACCCTATCTTTCTTTTCTTACTGAGCTACTAGGTTTCTGGTCTTCATAATTGGATTGGTAATGTAGCTTTCCAATTGCTCATCATATTTTAGTTTGTTTATAATATCATAATCCTTTCTGGAATTTATTTTTATATGTGATGTAAAATAAAAATCCAGATACATTTTTATGACAATGTACAAGTACCATTTATTAAATAATATACCATTAACTCTCAAAATTTAAACTATCACCGTTACTATATATTACATTTTAAAACATACTAAGATCAAATTTTGAATTTTGTATTCTGTTTTACTTATCTATACCACTATGAGTACTATAACTCTATTTTAATGGTTTTATGGTATGTTCTGATATCTCATAAGATCACTTGCCTTTTTTTTTTTGACAGTTTACTTAGTTAATCTTAGACATTTGTCCTTTAAAAAATTTTTAAGATCATTTTTATCCAATTTAAAACAAACATAATATAGTAACAAAATCAAAAACAAATAATATACCAACATCTCATTGGGAGTACCAGTGAAGTTGCATTCAATTAAGATATTTATTTTAAGAAAGATTTTTATTTTCCTTCTTCGCCACACAACACTCAAATTTGAGCTGGGCACATTGCTACATGGAATAATCTTTATCAACAGCCTGCTTTGCAGCTGAGTCAGCTCTGTGCTTAAGTTCTGGTAATGTTCTCCTTGCCCTCTGCAAGCATCTGGCTTAGATATGATGAAATCGGTGGTGAGAAAAAGTAGCTATGACTATTAACTTAGACCTTATGACTAGCTCTGGAAATAAGGACCTTTACAGTTATGGTTTATGTTCATTAATTATTTATTTGTTCTCTTACTCCTACTAATTTATTTAAAATACAATAGTAGGCTTAGTTCAAATCTATATCACTCTGCAATGACAGAAGCTGTTGAGACCTTATGTAAAAGACATTTGTCACCTGGATAAAGGAGAAAGACCCTAAAGGGCACATGTCATTGTCTGTGTAAATAAGTTCTCTCTGTCCCTTCGTATTCTATTCCATGTTTTTCCTTCCTGAGTGAGAAGCTCACTCATCTGCAAAGAAGGTGATTAATACAGACTTTATTCCAAGTAGCTATGTGCCCAGCTCAAATCTGAGGGGCTGTATGGCTAAGAAAGTAGGAAGATAAATATCTTTCCTAAAACAAATATATTAGTTGAGTGTAATTTCATTCATGCTTCCAATGAGATATACCAGTGAACATCTCTAATCTCCAGTTTCTTGTTTGGTTCACTCTGTGTAGACACTATCAGGGGATTAGAGGAAGGGAGAAGACATCCGCAATTATGTTGCTCAGATATTTTCGATGGTGGTTTTATCTTAAGTTGGCTGCAACCCTCTGCTGAAGTACGCAGCTCCTGACAAATAGCTTTTTCTGCACAGCTACTCTCTGAGTTCTAGTGTTTACTCCATATTCTTGCCCCTTCAGTCCTAGAAGTGGTAATGGCTCCTGCTGCTGCTGATCCTGGAATACTGCCCTATCCTTTGTTCATTTCTTTAATGTCCATGCATTTTAACAGGCCATTTTATTAAAGTCTCCTTAATTATCTAGTTTGAGTGTGCCATTTTTTTATTGCTAAGTCTCTGACGATACACCCAATCTGCCATAGAGGGCATGGACCCTCCGCTGAGCTTGGTGCCTCCAAATACTTATCTCTGTAGGAATTTCAATCTCTCTTAAATATCTTGCTTTTGTTGGTGTATAGTTTTTTTTTATTTTTTTATTTTTTATTTTTATGGCTGAGTAACAAATTAACACAATCATTGAAAATGAGTTCTCTGGGTAGCTTTAGATAGACCAAGCTCTTTTCTCTCTTTCTCACTTGTAGTTCTCAATGTAACTGTGGCGTATACTAGGAATGGAACATCTCGATGTAAGAAGGAGCTAGCAGGATCAGCCTAGACTCTACTCCAGCTCTCCTCCAGAAACAGGACATCTGTAAATGGGTCAGCCCAGGCAGCCTTGTGACCCTGAGGTATAAAGCCCAAGGTGGGCTGGCTGCAAGAGAGGCACCTAGAGATGAGAGTCCGTCTACCCTAGGCAGCTTTCCTCAGCTTGAGAGGCATGGTGTGCATTTAGGAGGCTGGTTCAACATGAGTCCTAGGCTTCTATTGTCCCTTGCTGCCTAATGTATAAGTAATAAACCTGCTTCATGTAACTTTGTGTGTGGTTTTTATGTCTTACCCGACTCTGACAAGTTGGTAACCTGTGCCCAGTGAATATGCTTCATAATGATAGCAGTTTAAAGTCCACCTATTCATTATCTCACAGTTCTGTAGGTCAGAAGCCTGGGCTTGGCATTATTGTGTCTTCTACTCAGCTTCTCACATGGCTGAAATTAAGATGTCCTCTGGCTCTCTTCTTGAGAGCTTGGGATCTTCTTCCAGGCTCATTCAGGTTGTTGGTGGAATTAAATGCCTTATGGTAACAGGCTGGGGTTCCATTTCCTTGCTGGTTGTTGGCTGATCCTAGCCACACAGCCCTCTCACAACATGGCAGCGACTTCTTCAAAGCCAGCAGGGGAATCTCTCTCCAGCCCACTGTGAGTTGTAAATAATATAATGTAGTCACAGGAGGGACCCTTCCATCATATTTGCTGCATAACGTGACTGACACAGTTTGGGTATTTGTTTCTGCCCAAACCTCATGTTGAAAAGTAATTTGCAATGTTAGCGGTGGGACCTATTGTGAGGTGTTTGGGTCATGGGGGCAGATCCCTCATGGCGTGGTTCTGTCCTCACCGTAAGTGAGTTATCACAAGAGCTGATTGTTTAAAGTGTGTGGCACCATTCCCACTCTGTCTCGCTCCTACTTCACCTTCCATCATGAGTAAAAGCCTCCTCAGAAGCTGAGCAGATGCCAGCACCATGCTTGGACAGCCTGCAGAATGATACGCTGATAAAACCTCTTTTCTTTATAAATTACCCAGTCTCAGGTATTTCTTTACAGCAATGCAAGAAGTACCTAACACTGTACCTAATTAAGGGAGTAATATACCATTATATTCCCACATTTCCCCAAACTCAAGAGAAGGGACTATTCAGAGTATGTGTGCCAGGGATGGGAATCCTGAGGGTCACTGTGGATTCTGCCTACTACAGTGGTGAAGGGGCTTCAGGCTTTCTCACTGCTTCAGATATACCTACAGCTAACTTTCCTATTGTCTTAATTATTGCACCTTCAACTATCTAAGATATCTTTGTCTCAATTTCTCAGCCTTACTGTAATTCTTTAGTATAAAATGATGTGTTGATAAGCTTTCCCACTATTGGGTTAGATGTAGCACTTTTTGGTCTGATAAGACGTAGTGATTTAGTTTGTCTTGAGATACATTTTCCAGTCTGCTGCCTGGGAGTGTGGTGAGTTTACACCAGATTGTGGCTCTTCTGTGGTTGATTGAGGAAAGCAAGCTGGAGGTCTAATAATCGTCAAATAGGCAGAATTTAACTTAATCATTCACGATCTTCTGCCTGTAACTCCAAGTCTCTCTGGTCTATTTTTTTTTTTTCCCAGAAGACCTCTTTCCCCTATGAAGGCAGCACAGGGTGTTGCCTTTCTGCTCCAAGTGGCGTTGGAAGCTGGGCTTTTAACTGCTCTCTTGTTGTCTACTAATCTACACTCACCCTTTTGATGTCCCACCTTGTCTTTCCCCTTCAGCTGTTCCAGTGCCCAGTTTCTCAGCTTTTGGGAGATTCTGTGAACAAAACCTGCTTGTTTATCTTCAGATTTACATGTTTGAGAATGAGCTGCCCTGACAACATCTTTATTATCCTTGACTAGCAGCTTTTAATTTTCATCTATTGTGCTTTGAGGTTACCTCACTTCCTCGAATATAAGGTTTTTGCTTCTGGGTTTACTATGATTATTTTGTTTTGCTTCTGTGTCTACTATGATTATTCTTTGAGGAGAAGTCATTTTCAATTAGAAAAGGGGACTCACATGGTTTTATTCTACCACAAATACCAAAGGCCAATATTATAATAATAATTACTGTCATTATTTTATTTTTTGACTGGTAACAGTAGAATTTATTCAAATGTTCCTTAGTATAGGTGCTGGGACTCACCCATGGTGCTCTTGACATTTAAAGCCCAGATATTCAGCCAGTTTTTCTTAAGCAATGGCACCAAGAAGTTGACAGACAGGTGAATGTTATACACAAGCTCACCGTCTGTCATCTTCACGTGACGGACAGCCACAGCCAGACATAACACCTTTTTCATTTGGAACTTGATTGTGGACTTCACCTCATCCACTTTGGCCACCATATTTTCGTTGTGTGTGAGCAGGGAAGGGAACTTTCCTGCCTTATTTAGGTCTGGGCTGAGGATTCATGAAATCTGCTTAATCAGAGACTCTGAGGCCAAAATTGCATGATACTTCTTGGCCAGCTTCTTGACCAGTTTCTTATTCTTGTTGAATTTTTTCAGTGCCTCAATATCTATGTAGGAGATACCCATAGCCTTGGCCTTGTTACAGTTCTGCAGGTCCCCCAGGACACACGTGGAGAACTTGGGGTGGGGAGTGGACTTAAGCCTGTTGGTGCCCGAGAAGCGCTTGTCTTCTGGGGGTTGCAGTTCTTCAGGCTGATTGGTAACTCCAACACCTCCAGGAACTTGCAGCCCTTGCGCTGGTTCTGGTGCAGGACTTCCTGCGTCGCCTGGGTACATGGTGTTGTGAGAGACTTCTTGCGCCACGTTCACGGGAAAAGAGCCTGCCATTATTTTATAATAAAGTTCATATGGCATGGCATGTACTCTGTAAGTTTGGGCTGTTCTTACAGAAAGAAGGCTTAAACCCATTGTCTCTGAAGAAATGAGTGCCAACAGGATGGCTCTTCATATGGGCGAAACTGAGAATTTGCATAGATTACTTGTGTTGGTTTGTTAGCCTACCTGTCCTCTGCAATGCCAAAAATCACCTTGCCAAGTTAGTGAAGGGCCTTGGAGTTGCTGGAGTGATGATTAGATGGGTTTCTGCTTGCAGAGTATTCATATCAGCAATAGATCAGCTGGCAGCATTTGTGTTGTTCAACTTTTAGGAATTCAAGTAATAAACGTGAATATCAGTGGTTTGAATAAGAAATATAAATGGTATGGTATTTGAGGGGAAGCATTTCCATTAGATAGTCGAAAATGGGCTAGGCACTTTTTGATTGCCTAAAATAAATCAATCATTAGGGAGCTATTTGTCTTATGGAAACATTTTCATTCTTTGAAAAGAATGTCTAAACTTCTTACTAACACATGTGAGAGAGACACAACAGACATTAAGGTGCTCACAGGTGGTGCTGTTAACCAAGACACACAGGCTAGCTCTTATGTAAAGGTGAATAAAATTGTACTGAAGGCTTGAATTAAACACACTGGATCTCAAACTTGGCTGCAAAACATGAACACTTAAAAAAATAATAAAATGAGAATCTCATGGATGTGTATGCCTGTTGGAGTGTGTGTAAATACACACAACTGATGCCTCAGATCACCTCAAGGAAATGCAACTGGAAACTCTGGAATAAAACTTAGGTTCTGGAATTTTAAAATCTCTCTCACATTTTTCGATAGTTTTAATGTGTAGCTAGCATTGTGAATCGCTGAACTAAGATTATAGGTAACTTTGGAGGAAGATATAGATGGGAAGAGAGGTAGTTAAAACTTTTCTCTTTTTATTTATGTCATAAATTTAGAGAAAGCCATTGAGAAAACTTTTTAAACACTTTCTGCTCTCTCTACTTCCCTTAGGAATAGGAGTGGCAGAGAATTGGCTCTCAGTTACCAAATCTCAGTATCCCACATAAAGAATAAAGTGTGTTGCTTTAGAGCAAATACTTGGTCAAAGCATTACATAAATGTTCTGTTTTTCCAAAGTAGAAATATTCCCACCATCCTCCCACTTTAATCAAGCCACCAATTGCCATTTTACCTATTTAATTATAGGCTTCCTTTTGAAAAGCTAGCTGCTGAGGAATTAGTTTCCAGGGTCACCGAACCTCTGTGAGCAGCATCACCTCTGAATGCCACAGACGGTGCTCATTCTTAATTCAACGGCTTGTCTACTTAGATCTCTGCTGCAAGCACTAGGATGTAGTCAACCTGCAAAACATTGCTCAGAAAGAAAGTTACAAGTGCTCGACCAGTCCCTGTGAGGATATTGAATTCAGTTCTTATTTTTAATCATGTTTAAATATGGGATCTTTTCTTTTCATTTCTTATGATAAAACCCATCTTTCATTCTGTAAGGTAAATCAAAGCAAGAACAAAACAGTGTAATCAGTGCCTGTGACAGTTTATTCATGATATGGACATATTTCTGAATGGTAAATATGAATGTGAATTTTTTTATGAGTGTGAACTGATACTGATACCAAGAAAAAAATTTCCCCTTCCATTGTCAGAGAAGAGTTAGTAAAAAAAATTCCATCTCACTCAAAATTGCTTCTCTCTATCATTGTTCTTTTTTTCTGACATAACCAAGTTTTATTATTTTTGTTTTAGCCTCTGAAGACTCTGGTAGACGTGTATAAACTGGTCTGGGTTTCATTCTGTTTCACAAATCAATAAACAAAGGTGTCATCCTGAAAAATTATTGCAAACTCTTCATTACAAATGACAATGAAGGAAACTAGAAGAACCAGATGGAGTTCTGAATCCCAAGTGGGTTTTTTGAGTATCAGAATAGGCTGGAGTAAAATAAATAAATAAAAAGTAAATAAAGCCAACTCTGTTTGACTTGCAAATTTGTTATGAAATAAATATGGAATGCTTCAATGCTAGCTTAACCAACCCTTCTTCTCTGAAATAATATTGCAAATTTATTTAGCTTCTTTCCCCCTTGAAGATTCTCAAACATTCTATAAGTAGAGATGTTCCCCAGAGAAAGAAAAATAACATAACAGAAAGGGGCAGTAAAGATTGTCATTCCTTCAATGATATTAGAAACTATTTGAATTCAGAATAGTGACGATATTGCTTACTCCAACATACGTATTAGGCAATTTCTCAGGTTTTATAGTTGAATAGTTCATGTTGGAATAGTAAGTCACCATACAAAGAAGTCTTTATTTAGAATTTATTTGTAAAAAGGAAGAGAAAACATTTATTTATATTACTTAAAAAAGGAAACACTTTTTAAAAAGTGACTACTCATTGACACTAATTTGAGAGAGTTTTGAAAATATTTTGAAATACTTCAATATTTCAATCGGATTGGAGAGGACATCCTTCAAATGGTAAACATATTTATTTCAGAGCCTTCCCCAAGATAAAGAGTTACTCCCTTACTTTGTTCACGTGTTCTTTAGGAATCTAAGGGAATAATACATCTTTCTGTCTTATAATCTCTGTTGATCCAAATTCACATATATTTAGCCTATTGGATTTAGCACTATGTTTTGTGTTTTGCTCAACTTGGATTTCAGTTAGCTTTTCTAGAACAAGTTGTATCTTTATCTCCTTTCTTTCCTGGACTTGAAGGCTTTGTAATCACCCAGTTGGGTTCTTCTTGCCTACTGCCCAGAAAAAGCTAATACATTGAGAACAGCAGGAATGTTTGCAGCAAAGAAAGAGTTTAATGATCAGGGGGCCAGCCATGTGGAAGGATTAGAGGTAATTCTCAAATCTGCCTTTCCAAGAATTTGGGGACTAGGGTTTTTCAAGGATAGCTTGGCAGTCAGAGGGCTAGGGAATGAGGATTGCTGATGAGTTGGGTCTGGGATGAAATCATAGGGGGTTGACACGGTCTGCTTGTGCTGAGTCAGTTACTGGGTAGTGGTTACAACTACAAGATGCTAGTTGATCCATATAGAATGAAAGTTCTGAAAAATAAACACTAGTCTTAAAAGATTTACAATGGTGATGTTATCTATAGGGGCAATTGAGTAAGTTAATCTTGTGACCATTCGCTGTGTGACTCCTGAGTAGTAAGCAGTTTTCAAAAAGCAAGTTATAAAACAATAACTTCTTAGAATTTAACCATGCTAACAAAAGAAACAGTGGCTGGTTAGAGTTTCGCTATGCCTGCAACTTAGCAGAATTCAGGCTCCTACCTACCCCAATTCTAACCTCGTGGCCCTTCTTTTGTTTTACAAAAGTGGTTTCAGTCCCTGACCAAGGAGAAAGTTTTTTTTTGGAAAGGACTGTTACCATGTTTGTTTTAGACTTAAACTACAAACTAAATTCCTTCAATAGTTAGCTAAGAATGAGCAAAGACTGTCTTGCAAGGTTGGAAGTAAGACTGAGTCAGTTACGTTAGATTTCCCCACTGTCATAAGTTTCACAAAAGTGGTTTCAGCATTGCTTTGGGTTCTTAGATCACTGTTACCTCCTGCTGGCCTGGGACACTCTACGTATACTTTTAAGTGACTCTATCAATGACTGCATTCTGTAAAAGCCTGGAGTTAATTTAGTTTTGGTATTCTTTATTTCAAACATTTATTCACATTTACATTTGGGGAACATAATAATGGGAAAGATACTCCCTGACAGTGTGCTTATACATTACCAGGCAAAACAATTAATAAGGATTTTAATAAAATACTTCAAAGAAAATGCATAGGATGGTCATAAGCCAAGAAGCATAAGGATTTACAGGGAAACTATTCTTCTAATCAAGGCAATTAGTAATTATTCTTCAGCTAGACATGTAGGCAACATATTTGAGTTGGGTCATTCAATGGTAACTCTAAGTTTAGATGCAATAGGCAAGACGTTTCTGGAACTAGGTAGCTGTGAAGAGTTATTCCCATATCTAAATTTCCTTCCATAAATTCATGAGAGAGTACCACAAGGAGATTTCTACCTAGAGCATCCCATTTTTTTAAAAAAATGTTGGGCTTTAATAATCATACATAAGCCAATGATTAAGTACAAAGAAATAAACAACTGAGAAATCCTATAAGATGGACCCAGGCTGAAACAAAGCATCATTCTGAATGAGCAAGGTGATGTTGGATACTCCCCATTCTACGCACCCAAGGTTCAATTCCAAGTATGCTCTGTGGGGCAGACCAGGCCAAGTTTGTGCAGTCTCTGCCTATTTATTCCTGCTGATTCACAAACCCCAAATAATGCCTATGTCTCTTCTGAGTGGTCCCAGCATTTGCTGCAACACTAGCATAAATGTTCTAAGACAGCTCTGATTCTCTAATAAATGTAAGTAAGTAGATTCTGGTCTATAAGTTGTGATTTCTGAAACATACGTATGTTTCCATGGGAAAGTATTCTTTTCTCATTGTTTTCCCCCATACCTGAAATTACATAATTTAAGGAAGAATCTTTTAATTTAGAGGTAAATTTATTATAGGTTGACATACATATACGTGAAAGAGATTCCCTATTAAATCTTATCAGTCTTTTACACCCCAGTGTAAATTACTTTAATTAGATATTTTACTAGGAGAAAAATTTAATGCAAAATAAAAGGAGGAAAGAAATACATTTGTTAGGACTAGACAATTAAATATATTTTTTCAAGTAACCCATAAACCTAGTGGATTATGCATCTTTATTAAAAACGACTCTGGAATTCAAACTGGCTCAAGTTAACCCTGCTAGTAGTAAAAGCAATATATATCCAGCTCTGTGTCGATATAAGTTAAATACACTGAAGAAGAGAAAGTAGGAAGAAGAGGAAGAAAGAGGGAGGAGGAGTCAGAGGATTCAGAGATGAGTGTTGCCAAAATTTTTGTTTACATTCGATATGCATGCAACATACCCTGTTGTGAGATTACCCTTGAATAAAATACATCAGTAAAGTTTATTTCAGTACAACAGTACCTAAGGGAAATAGTTATAAGCTGTATTTT